GCATGTTGATTTGCATCTACAGGTGCCCCGTGGCTGGGGGCAGGGCGGGATGCTTGCGTCGTTTCCATGGCAATGTTCCACACCACCCCAGCTGCTTTGGGCTTGTGGGCAGCTTCCGAAGGTGGGAAAGCGGCTTGGCTCTGGGCCAGAGCAGGAAGGCGCTACCGGCAACCAGGGGAAAGGAAGGCCCATTCTTGCAGGAATCTTCATGCATCAGGCCTCAAGTTTGTTGATAAAGGTCACATCTAGAAGCACATGACACTAAAGGAGAGCTCTCTACATACCAAGGTCATGTCTAAGTCCTTTAGAGCAGCGGTCAGCAAACTGCGGCTCTTTGGCCCGTTGAGTGTTCTAACGCCACTTCTTCAAGGCCGAAAACAAGACTTCTGCGCATGGGCCCTGCAGTTTCAATCGCGCTGTACATGTGCGCACCCGCACGTGGTATTTTGTGGAAGAGCTTTTTGGCCCCTTGAGTTTTTAGCAAAGGTCAGCTGAGGAGTACCCCAATTAAGTTAGTAACACTGTACCTACCTATATAGCGTAAGCTTAAGAAAATTGGCTCTCAAAAGAAATTTCAATCGTTGTCCTGTTGATATTTGGCTCTGTGGACGAATGAGTTTGCCGACCACTGGGCTACCCCATGAACCGGCACAGGCACCCCATGAGGACAAGGGGTCCTGTCTAGTTTGTTCTCTGCTACATACCCCGCGTGCGTGCGTGCAGTGGGTGCTTACTAAACAGCGGTGGAACAGACCAGCGAAATGCATTCTGGGCTTGGCAGAGCGGACAAAGGCCAAATAACGGATCGCAACGCGCTCACCTCCACAGCCCTCTAACATCACACATCCTCGCCCCTCACTCCCACCTCCGGGGCCCCTCCGGCCACTCCCCCACTCCCCACCATCACGCCCGCTCGGACCTTCCACTTCTCTTCCCTCTGCCTACAACAACCCGCCTGCCTCCCCCAAGCTTTGCCGGCAAAGTGAGCTCCGCTCATGCAGGCTGCCGCTCGCAAGTAGCAGCCAGGCTCTCAGAGAGCACGGCTGAACGACCGGTCACGCTGGCTACCTGCTTTTGATCTGTCTCAACTGGACAGTACCACCGGCAGAGAGGAGGGCTGCGCCCCTCCTGCGCAGCTGCATGGGAGCCAGAACACACATCCGTTGGAGGAGGATGGAGTGAATGGGTGCCTGGGGAGTCTGGGGGCCGGAGTAGGAGCTGGCTGAGAGGGGACAGCTCAGGACGAGGCCCTCCTCCCCTCCTCTTTGGGGCGCTCCCTGCGGGACAAGGACCCACCGCAGACCGGCCCAGGAGAGGGATGGGTGGGAGCCGGGCTCTGCCCACCTGAAGAGGGAGAGGCTGTGGGTGCGAGAGCACACCCCTAGAGGGGGCTGTTCAATTAGAGAGGGTCTGGGATGCTGAAAGGGGTATTTTCCCGGGGAAAGACTGGGGAGGGCGGTGCAAAAGAAAAAAAAGCATTCTTGGCTGCCGATCAGAAGAGAGGGTATTTTTACACCAGCCCAGGGGGCGCCGGGCGAGGGTGGTGAGGAGTTTGGGGAGCTGCGGGGGGGGGGGGGGGCGGAGGTAACGGGGGAGGGGGGGCATTCCGTTATGAAGCACAAATGCAACCCTGCTGGGTGGCAACCTATAGGGTCTGCTAAAGAAAGGCTCAGGGGCAGCTGGTCTGCGCGGGGAAGGCGACACTGGTGGCCTTTGGGGGGGCTGTCCTGGCGGGGGCAGTGCCGGGGGGGGGGGGGGGGGGCTACGCAGAAGGAATCCTGGGAGAAGCAGTTTTTGGGGAGCGGCACGAAAGAGGGCGCTTTGGCCGCCGTCCTACGTAGGAGCGTCAATGAGGCAGGTAGGTGGGTGCTCTTCTGGGGGGGCCCCGGCGAGGGCCCCGCGCGGGCGGCACTGATGGGGACGTTCTGAGGACCAGAACGGGCCTGGGCGGGGCCCCCCGCCCCCGCTGTCCCCGGGCCTCCCGGCCACGCGCCCCGTCACTCACCGGCGCCGGGGGTCTCCGCCGGGAGGAGGCCGAGGAGGCGGAGGAGGCGCCGCTGCTCTGGGGAGACCCGAGGGCCTGACCGGAAGTGCCGCCTCCTCCCCCCTCCCCGGCAGCCCCGCGCCGCCCGCCCGCCCGTCCGCCCGGAAACGGAAGTCGCGTTCGCCTCGGAGGCGCCGGCGTCGGCGTCGAGGAGCTAAAAGAGGCGGCAGCGGCGGCGGCCGGGAGAGGGGAGTGCGCCTGCGCGCCGGCCTGGGGGGGGCGGAGGGGGCGCAGGCCGGGGAAGCCTAGCCCACTTCCGGTGAGCGACCTGAGCCAGTGCGCCTGCGCCGGGAGCGCCCGCTACCTAGGGCCCCGCCCACATGTCCGGTCACTGGGTTAAGCCACGCCCACCGCGCAAATCTCACGCTTAAGCCCCGCCCCCGAGCTGAATCTTTTTTTTTTTTTTTTTTTAAGGGCTTAATTATTAGAAGTCCCCCCAACATCTCAAAAGGGGTCCTCTTTGCCTTGGTCCCCCTAATTTCCTCCAGTGCATCCCACCTCCAAGACCCTGCTCTTTGAAGCCCAGCTCCTCCTCCTAAGCTCCGCCCTCACGGCTCATTAGGCCAAATCACGCCCCTCCTTAAGCCCCGCCCACCAGCCCCTACCATACAAACTCCATCTCTCTCGCAATTTCAATGCGATCTTTGTGCTTCCTGTCTTTCCTAAAGCATCCCCTTCAACCAGTGGTTCTCACACTGGCCCCAAGACCAGCAGCAGCAGCAGCGGCATCACCCGGGAAACGGTTAGAAATGGGAATGCTCAGGCCCCCTGCTCCAGAAGCTCTGAGCCAAAAACCCCGGGCGCGGGGACTTCCAGCTATAAAACACATAAGTCCCAGCGAGGTCAGGTACAGAATAGGGAACACAGTCAACGCCACTGGGATGGCTTTGTATGGTGCCAGGTGGTAACTACTTATCGTGAGCACTTCATAATGTATATAGAAATACCGCACTGCTGTTGTGGACCCGGCACTACTGAGTGTATGCCAACTATGATTCCACTAAAGAATAAAAGGAAACAGGCCGAAGTCAGGACCACAGCTTCGCCGCACTTACATATTTCTGTGAACCTCGCCCCTGACTCAGCCCTGCCCCCGCAGTTCTACTGGCCCATCCTGCTAAGGTCTCCCTTGCTAGGTAAGTGGAGGCAGGCGGGGGAAGTCCAGAGCCCATGCATGCTTCTGCAAGGTAGATGGTGACAGAGGGAACTGGTGCCTTCCCAGACCCCTGGCCCGAGGTGAAAATTCCACACCCCCCTGCCCTCGGCCCTCTCACCACTAAACAGCCGTGCAGAAGTACTGACGCCCCCTTTCGGCGAGAACTTCCCTGGCTCACCCTAAGACCAGCGAATTTTGCCCAGGAGCTCAGATTAAAACCTCCCCCTTTTAATCTGCTGGACTCTCCGGCTTTTGTCTCCTGCGTGGCAAACATCTCCCCCCTCTCTCGGGGACTCCCTCAGTCACTCCTCTTAGGTTCCCCCTGTCCCCTTGGCCTGAACAGCAGTCACACCCACTCCCCCCCCTTCACACACACACACCGTGCTCTCCTACTTTCCCCCTGAAGTCCCCCCTCTCAGCTAAACCCTATCCCTAACTCTAGATCCCTCTCACTCACTGCCCACAGCCTGAGCACCACTCCAGCTCCTATAGCCGGCTCCTAAGCCCCACCCAGTTCTCATGGGCCTGCCCAGTCCCACCCCTCCAGGCCACACCCCCTTACCTAGCAAAGCTGTTCAGTCCTAACCACTACCATCAACTTAGTTTTCCCTTCCGAACACGGTCAGGGAAAAGAGATAGGGCAAAATAGCCGAAACCGGTGTGGCTCAGTGGATAGTGAGTTCGCCTACGGTCCGAAGGGTCCTGGGTCCGATTCTGGTCAAGGCCATATACCTTGGTTGCGGGCACATTCCCGGTGGGGGGGGGTGCAGGAGGCAGCTGGTCGATGTTTCTCTCTCATCGATGTTTCTGACTTTCAATAAAATATATTTAAAAAAAAATAAAATACCGCCAAAACCGGTTTGGCTCAGTGGATAGAGCATCGGTCTGCGGACTGAAAGGTCCCAGGTTCGATTCCGGTCAGGGGCATGTACATTGGTTGCGGGCACATCCCTGGTAGGGGATGTGCAAGAGGCAGCTGATCAATGATTCTCTCTCATCGATGTTTCTAACTCTCTATCCCTCTCCCTTCCTCTCTGTGAAAAATCAATAAAATATATTTTAAAAAAATAAAATACCAATAAAATATTAAGAGAGAGAGAGAGATGGGCAAAGTGGTGGCTGCCGAGTTTCCAGGGATCTGGCTGGACTGGGGGAGGGAGGGCCTGCAGCCTGCGCAGAAGGGTCCATGTTTTACTGAGGGCGGATATTTAGGGGGTGTGTTGGGATCTGCTGGCAGAGGGAGAGGGGACAAGGGCTGCCACCAAGCCCCTTCTCTATGACCAAGTTCGTGTGACACGGAGCCCTCCCAAGCCCCACGCACTCCCCTGGGCGGCGCAGGGCAGAGGGCATCTGAAGAGGCAGGAGGAACAGCCCTGGCCGGTGTGGCTCCGTGGGCTGGGTGTCGCTCCCCGCACCCAGAGGCCGCTGGTTCCATTTCCGGCCGGGTCACAGGCCTGGGTGTCGGAGTTGATCCCAGTAGGGCTGTGAAGGAGGCAGCCGACCCTGTCTCTCCCCCTCTCCCTTCCTCTAAAAGGAAAAGAGAGAAGCAAAGGAAGGCCGGCCTCGCAGCATCACTGAACACACAGGGGGAGCGAGGGGCAGCCGTTTATTTCTGTGGCCCCTGCGTCCACAGGCCTGCAAGTCCGGGAGAAGGCAGTCGGAGGCGGCAGGGCCCACCGGAAGTTGAGGTCCTCGCCCGCAACAAGAATCGCACCAGACGGGCGGGTGTGCGGGGGGCCCCACTGCCCAGACGCAGCACCGGCTGGACCCCCAGCTCTAACCCTGGCGGGGGGGTGTGGGTCAGGCCAGCTCCTTTCCCTCCGGCCCCTCTTTCTCCTCCTCCTCCTCTTCCTCCTCCTCCTCCTCCTCCACTTCGGCCCTTTCTGCGGCCAGGATGCCCTCATGGTCCCACGATAGCTCAGGCCCCAGTTCTGGGGGAGACGCGGGGGGCCCCATGGTCTCGGGGTGCTTGCGCCTGGCATGGCGCCGGAGCGAGTTGGCCTCGGTGAAGCGCATGCGGCAGATGGGGCACTGGTAGGGCCGCTCCCCGGAGTGCACGCGGTGGTGGTGCGCCAGCTCGCCCGCCTCGCGGAAGCGGCGGGGGCACAGCTGGCAGCGGAAGGGCCGCAGGCCGGTGTGGATGTTGCAGTGGCGCCGCAGGTGGCTGGAGCGCTTGAAGGTCTTGCCGCAGTCCTTGCACTCGTGCGGCTTCAGCTCCGAGTGCGAGATGCTGTGGCGCTCCAGGTCCGAGAGGTAGGGGAAGGCCCGCAGGCACACGGGGCAGAAGTGCGGGGTCTTCCTGGGGCCCGAGCCCACGGGGCCGTCGGCCACGGCCCCCTCGGAGACGGTGTAGGGCACCCCCTGATCGTCGATCAGCAGCAGGCCGCTGCCATCGCCCGCTGCCGCCGCGGCTGCCGCGGGGGCGGTCACCCCGGGCGCCAGCGGGGGCTCCTGCCCTGACTTGGGGGGACGGCCCCGCTTGCGAGGGGGGCAGGCCTTGAGCCTCTGATTGGAGGAGGCGGGCCCTCCGGGGCGCTCCCCCGGGCAGCCCCGGGGGACGGAAGGTGGTAAGGCCAGAGGTTTCTCTTCCTCCCCGGGCAAAGGCGAAGGCAACGGGTCTGGGCTGGGGGTGTCCATGGAGCAGAGGAGGACCTGGGTCTGGGTACCGGAGCCGGGCTACGGGGAGAAAGGGGGCAGCCGTCAGTGCAGGGTAGGTCTGGGGTGCCCCGGGTTCCCTGAGACCTCACCCATCCCCTCTGTCTGCGTCTGGAGACCCCGCATGGCTGATATTCACCGGGATGCGCAGTGGTCGCCACACAGGGAGGAGGACAAGATAACTCTGTGTCAGCAGGTCAACAGCCACTGCCCCTGCCCCATACCTGTGCCCCAGGCCTCCCTAACCCCTGCCATGGGTCACGAAGTTCAAGGTCAATTCGAGCCAAAAAAAGAAAAAAATCTTCAAGGGAGGAGAGTGTCCAACTGAGGGAACAGCCGGGTCTGTGATCCTCAGAGCGGAGCGCCCCGCCAACGCCAATATCGAGGCCGAGGGGATGTTTCTGTCCGCGCGCTCTTGACCGGAGGAGACCGCCCCGGTGAAGGCTGACCCCGAAAGCAGCCGGTGAGGGAGGAACCGCACTGGAGTCTAGTCTCCGAGGCTGGGTTCTGGGTCTGACTCCTGAGTCTGTCACTCTGCGTGTGGCTCTGGGCCAGGCGCACACTTTCCGGAGCCCCAGTCGGGCCTTCTGCAAAGGAGGACGGAGTGCCGCCGCCCCCCGGGGCACGCCACGAGGACGATTCACAGCGACTGCTCAGGACTCGGAGCACTGAGTACAGAGCACCGAGCCCTGGGAGGCATGAGGCCTCTGAGAAGGTCACCAGCACCCTCGCTTGGCAAATGGGGAAACCCGGGCAGGAGAGCCACGTCAGCTGCCGAGCTCCCTCTGCTAGGAAGTGGCCGGGCCAAGGACTCGGACACCATGGCCCAGCCCGGGAGTGAGAAGAAAGGGACTCGGGGCCGAGGGGACACTGTGGGGTCCGCTGGTCCTGGGACATGGACACACCAGGGCTGTCCGCTGGCACATAGGAAGGACACAATAGCAGCAGCAGCAGCAGCAGAGCTGGGGGGTGCCCCGAAGTGGAGGCCGGGGGCGGGGGGGGGGGGGGGGGGAAGGGGGAAGCACAGGTGCAGTTAGGAGCAGGTGTCACTGCGACCCCTGGGGACAGGCACCCCGACGGCGGGGCACCCGCTTCCCCAGAAGCACACGGTGCGCTCCGGCGAGGGGAACTGGAGGGCAACTGCTGCCTTTGGGGTGGGCTGGTGCCCCGACCCTCGCCCAGCGCCAGCCCCCCCGAGCGCGCGGGCGAGGGTGGGGGACACGAGAGGGACGGACGAGCCGCGGGGCCGGCCAATGAGCAGCCGGCGAGGCCGCCAGGACGGGGGTCTGCGCGCGCGCGCCCGGCCCGCGGGCTCCGCCGGGCGCACGCCGCCCCGAGCGCGGGAGCGGGAGCAGGTGTGGGGGGCGCGCTCCCGGCGCGCGCGGCCCCCTCCCCCCTCCCCGCGCTCCCGCCCCCGCCCCCCCCCGTCGGGTACCTCATTTGCATGCCGCCCGGGGGGCTCGCGGGAGTGCGCGCGCGGGGGGCGACCAGGCCGACGCGTGGGAAGGGGCGGGGGCGAGGGGGCCCGTCCCCGGACGGCGCGCGCGCGCGCGCGGCGGCCCCGCCCACGCAGCGGCCCGGAGGCCCCGCCCCCGCCGCCCCCGCCCCCGGGTCGGACCCGCGGCCGGAGGGAACAAAGGGTCGCCCACGCCCGCGCCAGGCCCTCCCCGCGGCCTCGCGGGCCCCGGGCGGGCGGCGACCCCCGCACACAGGGCAGCCAGGTAGAGACCCTCCCCGCCCGCACACGGCGCAGCCCGGGGCCCCGTGAGCCGCGGGGACCCAGAGGATGAGGAGCGGGAAGATGGCTGCTCCTTCCCGCAACGAACATGGCGCCTGGCCCGCTTCAGCGCCTCCCCGCGGGCGCAGGGCCAGAGGGGGCCCGCGCTCGCCTCCCCCGCCCTCCCCACCGCGCCCGGCGGACCGGGGCCTCGTTCCCCCCGATGCACCCCGACACGTGGCGCAGGCGGGGCCGGGGCTGCACACCCGGGCTCGGGCCGCCCCGTGCGCGCCGCCACCGCCCGCGGCCCGCGCTGCCCTCACTCTGCATGGCGCAGGGTCACCCAGCCCCGCCCCTCCGCCTGCCCTCACCCAAGATGGCGCCTACCTGGCTTCCCGCCCTGCCGGCGCCGGAGAGGGACGGGGAGCGGGCGAGGGAGAGGGGCGGGCGGCGGGCGGCAGGGCGGGGGCGTGCGGGGAGCAGGGCGCCCAGGCGGAAGTCGAGGGGCCCCCCGGGTGGAAGTGACGCTGCCCCCGCTGCCCAAAATGTCGGCGCCCAGAGGGAGGTGTAAGTAATTAAAGAGGAAAGCCCACTGACGCTCCCGGCCTCCCGGGGCCGCCCCAGGGCTCCCGAACCCCGCGCCGCCGCTGCGAGGCGCACTCACCCGGCCGGGGGGCGCTCCCGACCCCGGACTCGCCCCCGCCCCGGGCGCCCCGGGCCCCGCACCTTTTGGGGGCGGGGGGGAGGGGCACAAAGACCAGTTCTGCGGGCTCGGGGCGTGGAGGGGACTGGGGAGGGGGGCCGGCCCGCAGGCGGCGGGGTGCGGAGGGGCGGGGCCTGATGGCGGCGGGGGCGGGGCAATGGGCCGGGAGGTGTCCTGTGGGCGGGGCTTGTATCGCGGGTGGGCGGGGCTTGTAATGCGGGTGGGCGGGGCTTGGCGGAGGGAGCTGGGTTGCGGGTGGGAGGGGCTCCGGTAAAGGGGCGGGGCTTTTATAAAGGGGCGTGGTTTTGTGGGCTGGTTGGAGGGTCCTGATGGGGGCTGAGTGGGACATGAGGCTCCATGTGGAGATGGGAGGAGCTTAGAGCAAAAGGGGCGGGGTTTGTCCCGGGGTGTGTCTTAGAGAAAGTGGGGTTTAGGAGAGCCTGCGTGGAGATAGCAAGCAAAAAGTTTAAAAAAACAAACACAAAAGTTTCAGTTGTTCCCCTCCCCCAGGCCCCAGGACTATTCCTCAAAGAAGAGTGGGAGGAGCTCACAGGGGAGTGGGCGGGGCTTGTCAAGGAATGGAAGCGGGTCCTGGAACAGTGGGCGGGGATATGAGGGAGTAGGCGGAGCCTGAGCGTTGGCGGGCGGGGCTTAGCCACAGTGGGCGGGGCTTAGAGGGCAATAGGAGTGTTTTGCAAAGAGGGAGTGAGTCTTAAAAGCACTCAGTGGGGTAGAGGCTACTTGGAATGGTTAGGAAGATTGGCAGATGAGAGGGAGAAGGGTTTCTAGGGGAAGTGGGTGGGGCTTAAGGAGTGGGCGTGGCCAGGGTGGGCGTGGCTCCCAGGGGACAGTGACAGGTCTGTGAGGCTCCAGAGCCCGCTGGGGGAGGACTACTGGGGAGGAGCCTCGCTCATCCACCCTCCATGTCTCCCCTGCTCCAGAGAGCCCCCACGCACCACTGCCCTCACGCCTCACCACCATGGATGACGCCCCGCTGCCCGCGCCCCCCGTCCCCGCCCCGGCCCAGGCCCAGGCCCCGGCCCCCCGCGTGCCGTTCCACTGCAGCGAGTGCGGCAAGAGCTTCCGCTACCGCTCGGACCTCCGGCGCCACTTCGCGCGCCACACGGCGCTCAAGCCCCACGCGTGCCCGCGCTGTGGCAAGGGCTTCAAGCACAGCTTCAACCTGGCCAACCACCTGCGCTCGCACACGGGCGAGCGGCCCTACCGCTGCTCCGCCTGCCCCAAGGGCTTCCGGGACTCCACCGGCCTGCTGCACCACCAGGTGAGTCCTGCGAGCTGGCCCGGCTGCCTCCCTCCCGCCCCCTCCCGGGGCTGGGCTTGGCCTTGGAGCCCCGGCCCCACGCTGGGCACCAGAGAAAACTTTCCTTTTCTCCCTCCCTCTGGTCCAAGCGCCCGGGCCAGTCAGAACGCAGGGTTTCCTTTCAGCCCCCACTGGATCGGAGGCGAACATTCATCCTACAACTTCCTCTTCTCATCCATCCCCTGGCCATCCTCCCCACCCCACCTCTCCACCTCCAACAAGGTGTAAGTGGCCAAAAAAAAAACAACAAAAGAAGCATAGCTTTCTTTCGATAGAGACATGCTGAGTGCGAAGGGCTGAAATAAATGGGTCATCGTCCACATAAATTAATAGAACATTTTAATAAAAATGAAATTTTTTTTCTTGAACACGAACTCACCAGACACTGAATAACGAACGGCACAGATTCATAAGCATCACGCAAATAGACCTATTTTTCTTGTTCCCTGAAAGCAAAATATGTTCCGTTGCGCACACCAAACACGTTGGTACAAGACTATATTGTGGCATTCGGCTGCTAAAATATTTGCTGCCTACGCATAGGGACGTGAATGCCACACGGTGATAGTCATCAGTCATTAGTGAACGTTGTAGTTCAATATTAATAACCACAGGCCCGGTGCACGGAATTTGTGCCCTCGGAGGGGGGTCCCTCAGCCTGGCCTATGCTTTCGCACAATCGGGGAGCCCTCAGGGAATGTCCGACTGATGGTTTGGGCCTGCTCCCAGGAGTCCTACTGCGGAGGTTTAAGAGGGTCCCACCACAGCTGTGCTCAACAGACATGACCCCAGCTTCCACCTGAGCAGCGCTCACCCTGTGGGAGCACACTGAGCTCCTGTGTTGAGCATCTGCCCCCTGGTGGTCAGGGCATGTCATAGCATCCAGTTCTGCTGTTGGGTCGATTTGCATATTAGCCTTTTATCATATAGGATGATGTATAACAGGATATTGTAAAAATTGTTATGAAATTTAAAATATATATATATTTCCCCATTGATTTCAGAGAGGAAGGGAGAGGGAAAGATAGAAACATCAATGATGAGAGAACCATTGATCGGCTGCCTCCTGCACCCCTACCACCCGGGCATGTGCCCTTGGCCAGAATCAAACCGAGGATCCTTCGGTCCACAGGCTAACGCTCTACCCACTGACCCAAACTTGTTAGGGCCGAAATTTTTATTAAAATGTTTCTGACGTTGACTGGGCTGCAACAATATTGGTTGTGGGCTGTGTGTGGTCCACAGACTGTGAATTTGACATGCTTGTCCTAGAGCAGTGGTCGGCAAACTGCGGCTCACTAGCCACATGCGCCTCAAGAGCCGCGGTGTGCCGCTCTGTTGACTAATGAGTTTGCCGACCCCTGGGATAGGGGCTTAATCACAAGGAACAGCAACAGCCAGTAAATATTGGAATCGAGAGTCTAGGTCAGCGGTCGACAAACTCATTAGTCAACAGAGCAGCAAACCGCGGCTCTCGAGGCGCATGTGGCTAGTGAGCCTCAGTTTGCCGACCACTGCCTGGGGCATTTACAGGAAAAGAGCCACCTCTGATCCTCGGAGGCTAGGAACACACCCCCTCCCCCCCTCCCGCCCTCAATCCACGGGTTTAGGGGGTAGAAATAGTTCATGGGATTTTGGTTCAGAGGCTGTCGCTTGTGCACCATTTCAGCGTGGAAGGCGGAGCTGGATTTGAACCCGGGCCCGGCAGCGCTCAGCTTCCCGGTGGGTGCGCAGCCTCTCCCCCAGGATGGGAGGCTCGTGGGAGCTCAGTAAGAGAAAGGTCCGAGGCTTGTCCATCTGAGAAACATTCACACCTGTACAGAAGGTTTTTGAGTTTAAGACAACTGCCAGCAATTACCGGAAGCAAAATCTCAGCAGCTGAGAAAAGGCTCCAGGGAGCGTCAGGTTCGCATCTTGTTACAATCAAAAGAGAAGGCAGGCCCTAACCGGTGTGGCTCAGTAGATAGAGCGTCGGCCTACGGACTGAAAGGTCCCAGGTTCGATTCCGGTCAGGGGCATGTACCTTGGTTGCGGGCACATCCCCAGTGGGGAGTGTGCAGGAGGCAGCTGATGAATGTTTCTCTCTCATCGGTGTTTCTAGCTCTCTATCCCTCTCTTCCTCTCTGTAAAAACAAAACAAAACAATAAGATATAATTTAAAAAAGAGAGAGAGAGAGAAGGCAGGCCCTAGCCAGTTTGGCTCAGTGGATAGAGCACCCATCCACCTCTAAGTGTGTAAGGCCTTCTGAGTGTGTGAGGCCACCAGGCAGGCCTTTGCCGGGCGGGCTTGTGGGGTTTAGGGTTTGTGTGCGGCCCCTTTCCTCCCACAGGCTGGAGGGACAGAGGCCAGGGAAGCCAGGGTCCACCCCGCTCCGGGTCCGGGGTCTGCCTGGCCGGCTGGACCCCCGGCCCTGACCCCGCGCCCCCTCTCCGCCCTCCAGGTCGTGCACACCGGAGAGAAGCCCTATTGCTGCCTGGTCTGCGAACTCCGCTTCTCCTCCCGCTCCAGCCTCGGCCGCCACCTCAAGCGCCAGCACCGCGGGGTGCTCCCGGCCCCGCTGCAGCCCGGCCTCCCGGGCCCCGGCCTGCCCGCCCTGGGCGCGCCCTGCGCCGCCTGCTGCAACGTGGGGCCCTGCTCCGTGTGCGGGGGCGCGGGCGGCGGGGAGGCCGCGGACGGCGTGGGCGCGGGCGGCTGGGGCCTGGCCGAGGCGGCGGCGGCCGCGGCGGCCTCGCTGCCCCCGTTCGCGTGCGGGGCGTGCGCCCGGCGCTTCGACCACGGCCGCGAGCTGGCGGCGCACTGGGCGGCGCACACCGACGTGAAGCCCTTCAAGTGCCCGCGCTGCGAGCGCGACTTCAACGCGCCGGCGCTGCTGGAGCGGCACAAGCTCACGCACGACCTGCAGGGCCCGGGCGCGCCCCCCGCGCAGGCCTGGGCCGCGGCGGCGGGGGCTACGGGGCCCCCCGGCGAGGGGCGCGCGGAGGCCGGGGGCGCGCGGCCGGCCTGGGACGCCGGGCTGCTCCTGGGCGGCGATCTGGGGGGACTGCACCCCGGGGAGGGCGGCGGGGAGGCCCCCGCGCCGGCGGAGCCCTCGGAGGACACCCTGTACCAGTGCGACTGCGGGACCTTCTTCGCCTCGGCCGCCGCGCTGGCCGGCCACCTGGACGCGCACTCGGGCCCGGCCACCTACGGCTGCGGCCACTGCGGGGCGCTGTACGCGGCGCTGGCGGCCCTGGAGGAGCACCGGCGGGCCAGCCACGGCGAGGGCGAGGGCGAGGGCGGCGGGGCGGCGGCGGCCGGGGCCTCCGAGGGGGACCCCGCGCCCCCCGGGGAGCCCGCGGCCGGCCCCGCGCGCAGCAGCAAGAAGATCTTCGGCTGCTCCGAGTGCGAGAAGCTGTTCCGCTCGCCGCGCGACCTGGAGCGCCACGTGCTGGTGCACACGGGCGAGAAGCCGTTCCCGTGCCTCGAGTGCGGCAAGTTCTTCCGCCACGAGTGCTACCTCAAGCGCCACCGGCTGCTGCACGGCGCCGAGCGGCCGTTCCCCTGCCACGTGTGCGGCAAGGGCTTCATCACGCTCAGCAACCTGTCCCGCCACCTGAAGCTGCACCGCGGCATGGACTGACCGCCCCGGCGGGGCCGGACTCGGGCCGCCACCTCAAGCGCCAGGTGGGGGGAGAGGGGGACCCCCAAACCCAGACAAAGGAGGGCCCCTGGCTGGAGAGAGAGATGGAGCCACCAGAAACCCTTATAGGCCCCGAGATGGGGGGGAGTGGGGGAGGGTGTCTATGGGGATCCCCTGAGCTTGGGGACCGACCTCCTTGGAATCCGATAGCTGGACACCCCCAAATCAACCGGGCTGGGGAGACCTAGGAATGAGAGCTGGGCCTCCACACGGACTTGGCACCTCGAGGTGGGCACCCCCTCTCCCCAAGGGAAGCCTGCCCCCTTCCCTGAGAGCCATCATTCCCAAAGCCCTTGGTCTGGAGAATGTGGGGGTGTTGGGGGGGACCGTGCCCCTGCAATTTCTCCCTGGGTCCCTCCAAATGCATCCCCCCCACACACAAACATACACAATCACCGGTGCCCCAGGTGACGGATAGAGCCAGGACCTGCTTTTCCCCGTTGCATTCCCATCCGACTGCGGAATGGGCCAGCCCTCGTGGTCTCCCCTAGCCGCCCCCCGACACTAGACTAGGCTGGTTGGGCATCCCCCCTCCCGCCCAGCAGGATGGACTGGGCCGGAAGCGCAGCCTCCAGTCCACTGGAACGGGCTGGCCCTGCTGTGGCCCGCGCCCCCTCTTCACAGCGAACCCCGCAGACACGCCCCCCCTCTTCTGCGTCATTCCCATCCCGCCAGCTCCCCCGAGCGGGGCCGGCGGACCCCGGGGTCTCCTCCCACTGCGTTATGGCACTGTTGGTCTTCCCATCGCTGTCGGTGTGTCTGTCCGTCTCTGTGTGCCTCCCGACCCCAAGGGGAAGGGGGGGCTGGCCAGGGGGTGCTCCCCATGAGCCTCGACCTCACCCCCTCGCCCCAGTCCTCTGTGTCTCCGAGACCCCAATAAACCTGGTCCTCCTGTCTGTCCGCGCTGCTTCATTGTCTGCGCCTCGGCTCCAGGGGGTGGGGTTTCCCTCCCCCCCCCCCCCACTTAGACCAGGTCCCCCAGCGCGGAGGGGTGTGGAGTGCTTAGTTCTGTCAATTACAAGGAACCCTGCTACCCTCAAACATGATGATCCTCCACAGATGGACACACACACACACCCCTTTTTAATATATTTTTATTGATTTCAGAGAGGGAGAGAGAGAGAGAAACATAAATGATGAGAATCATTGATTGGCTGCCTCCTGCATGATTGCGGGGTCGAGCCTGCAACCCAGGCGTGTGCCCTTGACCGGAAACGAACCCAGGACCTTTCAGTCTGCAGCAGACTGATGCTCTATCCACTGAGCCAAACCGGCTAGGGCCAGGCAGGCCCTTTGAAACCATCAGTCCCGTAGGCCAGTGTTTCCCCAACTTCTCTCGTGATGAGAATCCCCTGGCGGAGTTGTTAAACTACAGATTCCTGAATCCCAACTAAGAAGTGCTAAACGAGAATTTTGGGGAACCTCTAGGTAAAAGTGTATACTAAGACAGAGCACTAAGTTAAGTATACACTTTTACCTATAGGTTCCCCAAAATTCTAGTTTAGCACTTCTTTGTTGGGATTCAGGAACCTGTAGTTTAACAACTCCACCGGGTGATTCTCACCGTGAGAGAAGTTGGGGAAACACTGCCATAGGACATGCACCCCTGAGGCCCATACTGTCACCCTGGGGATGCGTCCCTTCCAGGAGGAGAGGCCCGTCCCCTTACGCCCTGTTAGCATCTCAGACGCTTCCTCCACCTCAGGTGAGGATCCATCTCTCTGAACGGGCGGCCATTCGGACTCCTCCTGGTGTGAGGGTGGTACCGTCCTGTCCCGGGCGCCCATGCATTGCCAGGCCCTAGGACCCCTCCGGGGACCCAACAGTGAATTCAACAACCCGTGGGCTTGATGGTCTAGCCCATGGTTGGCAAACCTCAGCTCGCAAGCCACAGGCGGCTCCTTATGGCCCCTTGAATGCGGCTCTTCCACTAAACACCTCGGCCTGGGTGAGTCTATGTTGAAGTGGCATTAGAAGACATTTAAGTTTTAGCCGGGACCGGTTGGGCTCAATGGATAGAGCGTCGGCTTGGGGACGGAAGGGTCCCAGGTTCGATTCTGATCAAGGGCATGTACCTTGGTTGCGGGCATATCTCCGGTAGGGGGTGTGCAAGAGGCAGCTGATCGATGACTCTTTCTCATCGATGTTTCTAACTCTCTATCTCTCTCCCTTCCTCTCTGTCTAAAATCAATAAAATATATATTTTTTTAAAAAGACGTTTAAGTTTTAAAAAAGTTGGCTCTCCAAAGACATGTCAATCGTTGTGATGTTGACATTCAGCTCTGTTGGCTAAGGAGTTTGCCGACCAGGGGTCTAGAGCGAGGCAGGTGTAGGAAAGAGTAGGAAAGGGGGAAGGCACGTGCAGAGAGCGGTGAACACCCTGAAGGACATGCGGGAGGTGGCTAGGGTGAGCGGGCTTCTGAGCTAAGGCCAGAGGGTGAGGAGGGAGCGGCCAGGAGGATGCTGGTGGGCCCAGGAGGGGCAGGAGCCCAGAGGAGGGAGCGGGGAGAAAGGTGAGGAGGTAAGCCAGGGTCCGGCCTCTCCGAGGCCAGTGGGCAAAGGTGGGCATAGGACTTCCTGCTGGAGGATGGCAAACAAGATGCTGAGTGAGGTGGCCGCTCCTGTGCTTTTTAAAAATATATATTGTATTGATTTTTTTTTTTTAACAGGAAGGGAGAGGGACAGAGAGCTAGAAACATCGATCAGCCACCTCCTGCACACACCCCCACCAGCATGTGTCCACAACCAGGGCACATGCCCTTGACTGGAATCGAACCCGGAACCCTTCAGTCCGCAGGCCGACGCTCCATCCACCGAGCCAAACCGGTTTCGGCAACTCCTGCACTTTTTTTTTCCTTTTCTTTTTTGTATAGCAAAGGTGGGAATTTATTGAAGAACAAGTACAGACTCGTGCGTGGGGAGAGAGAAAGAATCTCAGGACATAGACTCCCACGTGGGGAGGGGAGAGGGTCCTAACTCCTGCACTTTTTTATTTTTTTATTTTTTTAAATATATTTTATTCGTTTTTTACAGAGAGGAAGATAAAGAGAGTCAGAAACATCGATGAGAGAGAAACAACTATCAGCTGCCTCTTGCACATCCCCCACTGGGAATGCGCCCGCAAGCAAGGTTCATGTCCTGACTGGAATCGAACCTGGGACCTTTCAGTCCACAGGCCAACGCTCTATCCACTGAGCCAAACTAGTTTCGGCTCCTGCACTTAAAAAAAAAAAAAAAGGTTTTTTTTATTGGTTTCAGAGAGGAAGGGAGAGGGAGAGAAAGAGATAGAAACATCAACGATGAGAGAGAATCATTCATCAGCTGCCTCCTGCATGCCCCCTACTGGGGATCAAGCTCACCATAAGGGCACGTGTCCTGACCTGGAATCGAACCAGCGACCTCAGCAACCCAATGAAGCACCCTGGCCAGGCCCATGGTGGAGACTCGGTCCCGGACTCCCAGCCCCCAGGACTGTGAGCCGTCCGTGCCTGTTGTCTACAAGCCACCTGGTCGGCAGGATTATGTTACAGCTGCCCCCACAGACCAAGACATCCATCCACACGCTGCAGTGAGCCCGGCTGGCTTGGCTCCGGGGTTGAGGGGAGGTCACGGTTGATTCCCGCACAGGGCACATGCCTGGATTGTGGGCTCGGTCCCCAGTGGGGGGCGCGCAGGAGGCAGCCAGCAGCAGCTGGTCAATGATGTTTTCTCTCATCCCTGATGTTTCTTTTTTTTTTATATATATTTTATTGATTTTATACAGAGAGGAAGGGAGAGAGATAGAGAGTCAGAAACATCGATGAGATAGAGTCATCGATCAGCTGCCTCCTGCACACCCCCCACTGGGAATATGCCCGCAACCAAGGTACATGCCCTTGACTGGAATCGAACCTGGGACCCTTCAGTCCCCAAGCCGACGCTCTATCCTTTGAGCCAAACCGGTCCCGGCCCTGATGTTTCTGTCTCTCTTTCCCTCTTCCTCTCTGAAATAAATAAATATATATTTTTGAAAAACCAAAGCAGCTCTAACTGGTTTGGCTCAGAGCCTCGGCCTGTGGACTCAAAGGTCCCAGGTTTGATTCCGGTCAAGGGCATGTACCTTGGTTACGGGCAAATCCCCAGTTGGGGGGGAGGGGGTTGGAGGAGGCAGCTGGTCGATGTTTCTAACTCTCTATCCTCCCTTCCTCTCTGTAAAAAATCAATAAAATATATTTAAAATATATTGGAGAAAGGAGTCCAGCCCCGTTAGATACAGGCGTGGCACCAAAGACCAGGCCCGCCCACTCCAGGCTGGCTCCCTCGGCCAGGAGAGCGAGCACCTGGGAAAGAGCCAGGGTTGTCATGGAGACGGCCTCGGGCTGTGGAGTCAAGAACAGGGACCTGGGGAGGCGGAGGCCTCCACCCACCACACCTGCACCTGTATCCTTCCCCCGAGGCGGGACCCTTCAGCAGCTGGCCCGGCAAGCCCCGCCCCCAGGAGCTCATGGTCCAATGGGAGGGCAGCTCTGCAGTGAGTGGGTTGGCCAAAAGTGCAAGATTGGAAACAAAGGCAGAGTTATTTTTAAAAATAAAAATACATTTTGATTGATTTCATTTTTTTTCTTTTAAAATATATTTTATTGATTTTTTTTTTCACATAGAGGAAGGGAGAGGGAGAGAGTTAGAAACATCGATGGGAGAGAAACATCAATCAGCTACCTCCTGCACACCTCCTACTGGGGATGTGCCTACAACCAAGGTACATGCCCTTGACCGGAACCGAAACTGGGACCCTTCAGTCCGCAGGCCGATGCTCCATCCACTGAGCCACACCGGTTAGGGCTTGATTGATTTCAGAGAGGCAGGGAGACAGAGAGAGACAGAAGCATCAATGATGAGATAGAGTCATGGATCCGCTGCCTCCCACTGGCCGCACACTGGGGGTCAAGTCTGCAACGCAA